GACAATCAGATAATAGGTGAGAAACCTAATAAAAGAGGAAAATCACGGGAGGTATTAGAAGTGAGACCAAGTGAACCGTCATCATCAAGCCAAAATAAGGACATTAAAAATTCAGTAATATACATATTATTAACGGAACTAACGGAGGATCTTGACGTACTAAAAACTGTCGCTGAACTGAAATTTAATATTACGCTTGGGCAACTATTTAAATGGTCACCCAAGGCAAGGAATGAGATCATAAGAGTGTTAGCTCGTAAAAGGAAAGACATCGACATCATGGATATGGACGTTAGGTTAATATTTGTTAAGGAAGATAAAGTTCAGAAGAGTAAGACCGAAATAGTGCCAATATGGCCTGCCTTAATCAATGGAGACCTAGTCAATATACTGATCGATCCTGGATCCCGTTTGAATTTGATGCATGAAAGCTATGCAAAGAAAAAAGGGCTTAGATGGGATCGAGCATATGGAAAAGGAAGAATGGCAGATGACAGGATAAGTGAATTTAAGGGATACATACCTCAAGTGGAAGTCGAATTGGAAGGTGTAATAACGAATCAAAGTTTTTATGTAATGGAATCAGCAAGCTTTGACGTTTTATTGGGAATGCCGTAGATAGCCAGCGCACAATGCAACCTATATTGGAAGGACAACGAGTATTGGTGCACACACAGGTCGAATGAAGCTATATCGGGAGTATGCATGTCGGGTAAATATCGGGAACATATCGGGTGTCCCGATATTTCAAGTAAATATCATAGGGATATCGGCATAATCAATAGGCCTATCGGGATATCCGATAGGCCTATCGAAATATTTATAAATATCCCGATATGTTTAACGAATATAGGTATAAAATCGGTAAAATATCAAACAAGCGATAAAACTATCGATTTAAACTGATATTTCTCTGATTTTAAATGCCATTCGTACACAAAATCTTGCATCTTATCTAGAGATGGGCAAGGTAATAAAATACGTAATCATTACTTATTTTTTACCCCCTTACTAACTATTACTAATTATTATGTATTGTTGAGATTGCATAGTGATTATTAATTATTACGTATATATTGTATCACTAATAACGATGTATATAATAAATAATAAATGAGATTAATAATTATCAAATACCGATACCATTGTCTTGTATTTTTGCAATGCCAAATTGGCCACCACCAAATCCTGAAATACAACATTTGTTGCGCAAGCTTTCAAATGGATCTGTTGGTCATCCCCTGGGTCCTCTTTGGCAAGCTTTTGACCCAATTAAGACTGATGATAAAAAACCTAAAGCTCGCTGCATATTTTGTAACCACAACAAGTCTATATCCGGTACTGCAGCAGTGATGATTTCACATATTAAAAAATGTGAGAAAATTCATCCAGATGTCCGAGCTTACCTTATTAATGCTCACAACTGTCAACAAAAGTTAGTTCCAATTATTGAATGTAATCAGCATCAAGATAATTCTTATTCATCAGATGGATCGATTATACCTTTTATGTCAGTTTCGAATTGTGATTCTGTTTCAACTTTTTCTGATAATAATATGAGCGAAAACAATGATGTTTTTAAAAATACAAGTCAGATACCTACACAATTACCAATAGATGTATGCAGATCTAATCGACTATTATTAGAAGGTATTATAGAAGGCGGAGCACCTCTTTCACTTGTAGATGCATGCAAATTTAAAGAATTTGTTTATTCTATAAATAACTGGTATCATGTTCCTGCAAGAAAACAACTTTCTACAAATATTCTCAATGATGTTTATAAAAATGTTCAAACCTCAATTCAACAATTTATTAATATGTCTAATTGGATTACTATCATGACGGATGGATGGACAAATATTCGACAGGATCATCTTGTGAATTTTATTGCTATTGGAAAGGATCGAAGATCAGAGCTTATTAAAATTAAGGACACATTAGGAGAAAGCCAAACTTCAATTACTATATTTAAAGATCTAGAAGAAGTTTTAATGCAAATTGGAATTAAATGAATTAATGCAGTTATTACAGATAGTGTTGCAAATTATGTTCATATGAAAATTATACTTGTACAACAATATCCTAAAATTATAGCTTTACCATGTATTGCACATGAATCGAATCTTTTGGTTGGTGATATGTTGAAGCATACATATATGAAGTCAATCATAAGTTCTGCTATTAAAATTATTGTATTTTTTCGAAAAAGCACTCAGGCTATTCAAATTATTCGAGCTCGCTCTAGTGATAACACATTTAGATTTACTCTTCCAACTTTTACTCGATGGAATTCTTTTTTCACTTCATTACAACAATTACAAAATAAAGAGCAATACTTAAAAGATATGGCATATGAAATGGAATCCCGATTTGATAAAACTATTATGTCAATACTAAAAAACAATGAATTCTGGAATAATTTAAGAGTTATAATTTATATATTAAAGCCATATTCACTTACTCCTATTACCTTAGAGTCTCAATATGCTTCACTAGTTGCTTCATTGTAAATAATTTCATCATTAGCATTAAACTCTTCGATATTTTCAATTGGTTTTATTATGTTTTCTTCCAGATTTTCTAATTGTTCTAAATTATAAAACTCATCTTCATTTTCTAGATCAAATGATTCATTATCAGCGTTTTCATTT